TGCGAACGAGATGATGGCCAGCATCGGCATCATCAACCCAGCCTACCGCGGAAGGACATCACAATCAACGAACCACGGAGACGACGCCGGCCTGCCCAGGACTAGAGGCCGAACCTCAGAGTCGGTAGATAGGGGATGGAGTCAGTCTTTCAACGGCGAAGGCGCACCAAGCCTACCGCCTCCCGATTTTGGCAAACGGCATAGCGGCTCGTTTACCCTCTCCCCCATCAGCGCCGGCCCGTCCTCCTCTGGCTTCGGGACGTCAGCTCCCAGTCCCCACCAGTACTATTATCGTGACTTTTATGCCGGCCTGTCAAGCAACCAGGCGGGAATGACATCCCCGAGATCGGCCGAGGTACCAGCAACCTCTCGATCGCTCGGAGGCACGCGGCCGAGTACGGGCAAAAGCTACGATTCGTCGGCAATCTCAATGCCGAGACAGAGCACGGAGTCGGCGCCTCACATCCGACGGGACTCGGGCACGGCGTACTATTCCAGCTACCACCAGCACGACAGCCGTAGATTCTCAAATCTCTTTCACTCTGCCCTTCCTCTACCGGACGGCCCCGAAGAGAGTCAGCGGTCCTCTAGAGCATCATCGCGGGAGCGAGCACATGCTTCTGATGGGTACAATATCCTATGGCTGGCAGCGTCGCTCTTCGAGTTTAACATCTCGACAACCAAGCACGAGGCTGGCTATCCTTATCTGACGTATCAGGCCGGCGAGGTATGTTTTTTTTTTTTTCTAGTATCCCAGAGCTCGCACCGTCTCTTGTGGAGCTAGACATGCTGACAATGAGAATCTTGACAGATATTCGATGTAATTGCCGAGAAAGGCGAGCTTTGGCTTGCCAAGAATCAAGACGACCCAACGGACCAGGTGGGCTGGATCTGGTCCAAACACTTTGCGAAATTGGCCGACTCATAGAGAGAGGCGTAATCGACTCATTTGACCACGGCGTTGGCGCAAGGCAGACAAAACAACCCAAACGAAGCGACGGATCTTACCTTTTTTCTTTTTTTTTACCTTACACTACTTACAGTTCATGGAAATTGGGATTGCATCAAGGAGATGCACGTGTACACAATAACCAAAGGCATCGAGGAGGGACAGGCAAGCAACCAGGCGTTTCTATCTCTTTATTTTTCTCCCCACGTTATTCCCGACCTCTTTCGGTTTCTTTTGTTTCATGAAGCCCCTTGTCTTACATTCTCTCCCTTTCTCTCGCTCCTGTGTCAATTTACCTTGCCAGCTCTTGAATCGTCCTTTGCGAAGAAGCTTGAGCCTGGGGATGCATTGGTTGGAAGAAGAAGACTTTTGACTGTGGCTCTTTCAGCAGGCGAGATCCAGTCATTTTTTTGTCATTCTTGGCCGTTGATTTGTCTTGTCGGATTTCAGAAGGCGTTGGGCAACGAGGCCCGGTGTAAGGCGTGAGAACAAGCGGCTTAATGGAAGAGATGCGACATCTGTAGGGGTTGAACATGTTCTACCATATCAAAGCACGGAGTAGACAGATCTGAGCCGAAAGATACCATGACATGATATTGTTTCTGTACGAATATGGCTCGAGCTCGACAGGGTTTGTAGTAATTGACTCTATAACATGACGGCGTGCCTTGACCGGCTGTCAGCTGGCGAAGGAGATCAGAAAGATGTACATGTAGGTAGGTTAATGATCTGAACACCTTGCAGCTTGGTAGAGATACGTAGGTATGCCAGAAGCAGAGCAAGATGAAACATGGGGCCTCAAACCTGGTTGGATCTGTGCCACGAGGCTTCTGCAGAGCCATGCTGGCAAGCGGAAGAAGGGGGATTGGTGCAAATACGAGAAATCTATGAGACCCCCTTGTATGGCTGTTTCGAGTCTAGAACGAGAGGCCGTGAAGCGAAAAGTTGGTCTGGGGTCTCACCAGGGGTCACTAATAATAGGTACCTTATTAGGCCAAGGAACATGGGGGGGAAGGCCAAGCAAAAGACACGACATGACATTAAGCGGGAGATTTGGCCCCCTTTCTTCAGGGCCGTTTTTGGGGCTCAGGCACGCAGAGGGTGAGAGAAAATTGGGTGAGAGAGAGAGAGAGAGGCGCAACAAAGGGGACGACGAAAACACGCAACACAACACAACACAAACACCAGAAAGAAAAACAATAAACACAGCGAAGAGGGGTTTGCCGGTGATTGTAGCGATGTTTTCATAGCGATTGTCCATTTTTACGAGCGGTTTTTGGAAAAGAAAAAAAAGGTATCCTGGGTATCTCTAGGTATCTTGAATTGGTGGTGAAAGGGAGAGAGATTCCTCACAAAAGTTCAGAGCATAGCAGGGAAAGAGACGCCCGCGATGGCGGCTTCCTTGGTCGGACGGGCTTCGATTCGGGGAGGTACGGAGACGGTGCAGATGGTGCTCTTGACGTTTTGCACGATTGGGATTACGTGAGTGTTTCTTTTTTCTTTTCTTTTTCTTCTCTCTCTTCTCTCACTCATCTTCTGATTCTCACCAATCTGGATGTATGAAGAGGAGGATGGGAACGGAGGGAATTGGGTGTGGAAGAGGGATGCGCTTGGATTGCTGACGCGTCTGTGGCAGGTTTACGTGGGGGATTGAAATGACGTGTGAGTTTGTCCTCTCCGGCCTTCAATGAGGATCAACTGCGCAGATGCTTGAATGAACCTCAACGATGATGACGATGGCCTCCATATGAATGAGGCTTGATATATCAGCAGAGCAGCTAACATGGCCCCCGTGTCTCAACAGACTGCACGCCCTACCTCCTCAACCTGGGCCTCACCAAGAGCAACACCTCCCTTGTCTGGATCGCCGGCCCGCTGTCAGGCCTCATCGTGCAGCCCATCGTCGGCGTCATCGCGGACGAGAGCACGTCGCGCTGGGGCCGGAGGCGCCCGCTTATGCTGGTCGGCGCCGTCATTGTGTCGGCGAGCCTGCTGGTGCTGGGCTTCACGCGCGAGATTGTGGCCGCGTTGGGGGGCGGCGACGGCAAGGATGCGGCGACGATGAGGGCGACGGTTGTCTTGGCTGTGGGCGCGATTTACGCAGTCGACTTTGCCATCAATGCGAGTATGTCTTGCTTTTCGAGTGCTTGATTGCAGAGAGCTCTGGCTGATGGATCATGCTACTCGGTTCTAGTCATGTCGTGTGCGAGGAGTCTCGTCGTTGACACGCTGCCTATCGAGAAGCAGCAGACGGGAGCCGCTTGGGGTGAGTAGCCAATGAGAACGATTCTCTTTCTCTGTAAGATATGCGACTGACGCTTCTCCTCTTCTTGTCATCCATCAGGCAGCCGGATGAATGCCATCGGCCACATGATCGGGTACGGCGCAGGGTCCATCGACCTCGTCCGCATCCTAGGCCCCGGCTTCGGCGACACGCAATTCAAGCAGCTGACCGTCATCGCCGCCATGGCCATCCTCGGCACCACGGCGGTGACGTGCTGGGCCGTGACGGAGCGTGTCCTGGTCGCCAGCAAGGGCCCGACCAAGAAGCAGAACGACGACAGCCCCTTCAGCGTTCTGCGCCAGATCCGATCCACGCTGATGACGCTGCCTCCTCGCGTCCAGGCTATTTGTTGGGCCCAATTCTGGTCTTGGATCGGCTGGTTCCCCTTTCTCTTCTACAGCACCACCTGGGTGGGCGAGACGTACTTTCGCTACGATCTCCCGCCTGGCGCTGCAAAGTCGGCGGACACGCTGGGGGAGATTGGACGCATCGGCAGCGCGGCCCTGATGCTGTACTCGACCGTCAGCTTCGTCGGTGCCTTTCTGTTGCCTATGGTGATTCGTTCGCCCGCTGACGACAGCTACACGCACCGCCCTCCACGGGCCATGGCCGGCTTCCTCGAGAAGCTCAACAGCGCCAAGCCCGACTTGTTGACGGCCTGGATCTGTGGCCACCTGATGTTTTCAGCGGCCATGTTCATGGCTCCCCTGGCGAGGAGCTTGGTGTCGGCCACGTTTCTCATGTGTCTTTGCGGCATGTAAGTAGATTTTCATACCCGGACTCCTCGAGGATCATTCGTATAGTTGCCCAGCTTTCATGAGAACATCCGCTCACCTCTTCTCTTGCAGACCATGGGCCATTGCCATGTGGGCACCAACAGCCTTTCTCGGCATCGAAGTCAACAAGCTCAGCGGCGCGCAGGATCCCTCTCTCCTCCCTTCATCGCGCCAATCTTCGCGGCCCTCGTCTTCTTCATCTTCTTCGTCATCAGGTGAGCTATCGGGCATCTACTTTGGCATTCTCAACATCTATACCACGCTGCCGCAGTTCATCGGCACCTTCATCTCCACCATCGTCTTTGCCCTGCTCGAGCCCGGCAAGAGCCCTGAGCTGCATGATGCCACTGAAGAGGTCCCCAGCGGCAAGGAGGGCACCAACGCCATTGCTGTTTGTTTGTTCATTGGCGCCATGAGCACGCTGGTTGCAGCTCGGATGACACACAAGCTGCGGAAATTGCAATGAGCGAGGCGTTGTAGGCCTTTGCCTGATTTGCTTTGGCCTTGATTGAGTAAAAGAGACAAAGGACGACAGTGTGGGAGGTTGTGATTTCTTGCTTTTGGTGTTTAGGAGCGTGGAGAAAGGGTGATGCCAAGGTATTTTGTTTCTGCCGATGTTTTGTTGTGCTGTTTACAGGCCAATGTCTTCTTCATGTGTGCTGTTGAAAAATGTTGGAGTATAGAGTATAGAGCTTAGAGCAGGGTCTGTTATGTCACGGTATCGGAAGCGGTCCGGCTGCAAAATCACGCCGTGATCGTCATGCTGTGGAGATTGAGGCAGTTCTTTGTCGAACATGGTTGGACGTCAGATCCCTATTCATCCGCCGTCGTGACGAGCTGTATTTGTATGTACACAGTGGGGTGCCATCTTGGAGTAGATACACAAGAGGAAGAAGCACACGCCCATTATATTCCTTTACACTACCAGAGAACCGAGATCAAAGGCGTGCGATGTGTCTTCGATGCCATTCATCGCACCCATGGATAGACAACATGTCCATGCTCGTCCAGATCACTTGTCCTTGTCCCTCTCGTTCTCAGAAACGCGCTCCCACTCGTCCTCGGTACTCACACTCGACACCGACTCCGCCAACGACCGCTGCTTCAGCTCCCCCTTTGTTTCCACCGGCTCGACATCCGCCTTGGCTGCCGCACCCGCACCCGCACTCTTCTTGATCCTCGCGCTCCTCCTCCTCGCCACGCGTCCCTCGACCTCGGTATCGCTCGACCCGGAAACGTCTCCCGCACTCGCTGCAGCAGCAGCGGCCCCTCCCAACGAAGCCGGCACCCCGAGCTTCTTTTTCTTCTTCTCTTCCTCCTCCTGCTGCTGCTGGGCGGCGCGGAGCTCCTTGGCGAACCAGTTGACGGACCACCAGAGCCCGCCGCAGAGCACGGACAGGACGACAAAGTGCACGCTGTAGGTGGCGAGCAGGAGGGCGCCGAGGACGAGCTGGAGGGCGGCAAAGGTGATGTTTGTGGCTTTGAGGATGGTTGGCGTCGGGCCGGGGGTGAAGATGCCTTCCCAGAGCTCGACGAAGAAGGACGCCATTTTTGGTGATTTTTTTTTTTTTTCTTCTTTACGGTGAGCTTTCTTGGGTGTATGTGTATGTGTGTGTGTGTGTGTGTGTGTGTGTTTTATCGTCCGCTCGGATTCGTGGTTTGCGAGCTGAAGAGCTGTTTGTGTGTGTGGTTGGAGGTGGAAGGGAGGACGAGTGTGATGACGTCGGAAGAGGCTCGGTGTTGTTTAGGTCGTCTGGCGTTTCTTCTCGTCGTCCTTGTAGTGATATATTAGCCTTCGTGCTCGTCTTGGTCAAAGTATTCGTCCGCAGTCGGTATTCGATGCACGTCGTGAAAGAAGACAAAAGCGTAAACCAGAGGGAAGATTTTATCGTTCCCAAGCCCGAAGCCGACGTAAACAAGACAGCAGTTAAACAAAACCCCCCCCCCCAAAGCAGCCCAACCCTAAACCACAAGTGAAGAAGCAAGATGCCACCTGGTCGCTTTAGGCACTCTTCATCTGGCCACGTTGTTGCACTTCCTCCTCTCTTCTGCTTTTTTTTTTTCTTTAGGCTTCTTCGGATCTTCGTCAAAAAAACGCCCTTTAAGAGCTCTTTTCGAAAAGTTTCAAGCTGAGCTTTGTCCAGAGAGAAAAAAAGAGACCGACCAAGCTGGCGCCGGCTGATGAGGGGCAAACATTGCGGGATACTACCCGCCCGCGGGCGTTCTCTTTTTAGCCTCAATTTCTCCCAATTTTCCCCCCGCCTTTTTGTTTTTCTCTTTCGTGACATCGTCAATGATGGTCTAGGTATGCTTCATCACTCTTGAGTTCACCATGCTTCTCGTTCTATAAACTACATGTTTGATCAAAAATATTGGCAAGGTAAACAGGAGACGCCATCCTGATCGAACTCCTAAACCCGCACCTCACGAGTCCCCAAGACAAAGTATTATTATACAAGGGGGAGAATAGCAGGGGGGGTTGCAACAGAAGAAAATGTCTGCAATGACGTAGATGCCCAAAACACACGCGATGCAACAACAGTCCGAGTCATGAGGACAGCTTTTCACTCTGGGGAAACGTGATGGGCGCAGCACTGCCAACCCTTGGGGAGGGGGGTAAATTGCCCTGCCCTGCCCTGCCTCTCTCTGCCTGGACGCTGTGTCACCGCATAGCCCCCTCTGAGGATATTGACCTGTAAGATGGCTCTCGTGACTTGGCCCTGTGCCGTATTGAATCGTTTTCCCTCCATTCTCCCCTCAAGTCTGCATGCAACACATTGAGATACGAGATGATCAAAGTATTGCACTGGAAAGGAACCGCAAGAAGAAGCCCATGGTAGTAATGTAGAACAAAAGAAGAAAAGACAAAAAAACAAAAAAGAAATTGCCCACTATCAGAGTCGAACTGATCACCTTGTCATGTCAAGTAGGTTTACTAGTGACACGCTATACCGCTTAGCCAAGCGGGCTTTAGGACTTGCTTGGTTGTTTCCAAGGTATAACTATATACTCTACAGCTAATCTTCATCAACCATCGTAGGATCGTATGTCGTTTCAAGGGCTCTGGCATTCAACATTGCAGTTCAAGTAATATGAAGCAGCACGATAATTTGAGCCCATCTCCTAGCCCTACCATGATACTTACTTAGGTAGGTAATTACCCAGCTCTTGTTTTCTTTTGGCCTGAGCCATTCACAAAGACCACATGCTAATCTTCGTGTACAATCGTACTCATCTTCAAGGTAACACCGAGAGCCGCGTCAAGGCAAACACCCAAAATGAAAACCGGGTCTCGCAGAACAGCCTCATGACAAACCCGCCTCAGATCGGATATACAAGCGGACACGAGTCCCTTCGAATCTCTAACCTGCTCACATTTGTAAGGAACTTTTCGCATTACCAACGCAACTCATCAATCAGCCTTGCAATCGTGTCAAAAAGACGGACCTGATGCAAATGGGGGTGCAAAGGGGAGATGTAGGGTACCCTTTCCGTCATCTCGTCGCAGATCAGCCGCATTTCTTGCCTGCCGCACATATACATACACACTGAGATGCCTATCGGGTAGGCATCTTGACCTCTGTCATACAGGCGGTGCGTCATGGCACATAGTAGATGGACGTACTATGTCGCCGTAATATCATAGGTACCGTGCAGGTATGGGTACTGAGGCCATCGAAAGCTTACCTCTTCGTCCAAGGCAAAACCACAGAAACACTATCTCGTGGCAAAGAAGAACGCCCCAAAGAACCCCCTGTCCTGTCACATGTCTCCCGTTATTTTTCTCATCAATGCTTCTAGTACATCCTCTTTGCGGCTCACCGACGCACCTCGAAACGCAACGCGACGTAACGTGCAAGCGTTCTCTCACCTTTCCGCGTCAGCCACTTGTTCCACAACCCCTTTGCCAATTGCTAATGAAAACGGGGTGGGGGTGAGTCGAGGAAGAAAAAGAGCACAACACAGCAGGTAATAGGTAGAGACGCACAAGGAGATACCTGCTCGTACATCTCCCCCCATCTAACCAATGGCAACGCAACTTAGAGACAGATGATGCACCGAGAGATCGAAAAAGCCAAAAAAAAGGGACCGCGTACGAGTACTCAGCCCGAAGGCCCTGCAAGGGAGACGAAAAGAAACCACTTATTTCCCACAGCGGCGTACCCTCGCCCGATGTGACCCGTTTGTCAATGCGAGACCGCATTGTTGCCTTATCTTTCGACCGCTCTTGTGGCTCGCAAGATTGCCTCTTCCCATACAGAAATGTCGGGGTTTCCATTTCTCGAATTGCGTTCGTCCAAGGCTGTGACCGAATGAGACGCAGCCGACGGGTCGAATCATATTGCCTCACTTCACAAGAGAACAAAGATTCCCTGCTCGATCCCAGCTGTTAATATGTACGTTGGTACTTCGCGCCGGTGCTCATAGGTACAGAGTCATCCTCGCTAGAGCGTGATCAGTGGAAGCCAAAGAAAGAAAAAGAAAAGAAATACTTGACGCTGTTGCATTCGGCCCTTTGACAAATCGCATCTCGGTCACAGGCGTCAAGCATATACGAGTACTGCCGCTTGCTCTCTCATAATGCTATCCCCTTCGTCATGGCCTCTCCGCAAACTCCGGCTATAGCCTTGCGCCGAGCTATGTACCAGCTGTTAGCTGTTCGCTGCTCGCACAACGCGTACATACAGTAAACATAGTCGTACGTCGTCGTTCCGTAACGGCCTCCCCTCTCCTGGCCCCAAACCCCAGGCTCCCAACGTTGTGAGTCTTCAGAAACTCGGCGATATCCCCTTTGGGACAGCCACGAAAATGAAGCAGAAGCTTGGTGCCACCCGAGAGCCAGACCCCCGTCTAGCTGCATGGGGATAGAGCCAGACGTCTGTGGCGTCCAGGCCGGCCAGGCTCTGCCGCGATCTGGATATTCTTGTAAGCGTAAGACTCGCTTTGCTAACAGGCCTCACTCCCCAGGGCACTGGGTCAACCTGATAACTGCACACCCTACCTCATTGATCCCCGAAGTCCCTGTCTCCCCTGTCTCAGACCTTTCCATCTCATCCATCCCGCACATCAACTCGTACGGGTAATACATCGCAGGTACCCGTACTTCGTACTTGCACGTGTAAGCTGCAGAAGTTCTGCTTCTCATGCCTTTTCCAACTGTGTGCTCTCTTGATGCCACATAATAGTCCTCATTCTGCGCCGCTCAAAACCTTGAGCTTACTATTGCGTCCTGGCTGAGTCAACCGACGCCTGTCTGGGAAAATCTCTCCTGGATAGATGGCCAAGGTATCGCCGAGTGTTGCGGTCCAGCACATAGTAATACCTGATCGCCAGCCGATACTCCTAGTCCAGGTTCGCGGCAAGTGGCTGTCTCCCGCAAGCCTCGTTGGATTCGCCCTTGGTCAAGGCACAAGGATCAATCGCGATTGTGGGGGACTGCCATCTTGCGGTAAGGCTATCCAAGCGGCGATGGAAATGATACTCCCCCGGACAATCTGAACTGAATCGTGACACGAATTGCCTAGGGTACCAAGTCCGGAGAAGGATGCGGTAGCTCATTCACAGCCACGTGGCTCGAGAACATGAATGGAGAGCAAAGTTGACGAGCAAAGCCGGCCGTCTCTTTGGCCTACCACCAAAATAGAGAGGACGCGTTCTTCAGGGTGGACGTAAACCTAGGTAGGTAGACTTACCTTGCGCCCATGAGGAAAGTCTTTCGAGCCTCTAAACTTTTCGTTGCCCCAAGGTACCAGGTAAGAATAGAGTTGCTTAGTTCAAGCGGGAGTCATTGCCCACCTTTCCGAGCCACCACGCAGAGTGTGTCTAGTGCTATGCACTTTTGAAAGCGAACTCGTTCCATGATGCCCGATAAAGGTATGACGTTGGTACCTACTTTGCAAAGGGTGATGTGCGATCTGGGCTGGTCAGAAACAAGTCTTGCACTAGCCTCTGATCATCGACGGAGGCGCGTGTAAGCGCCATCTCGTCCAGCGGAGCACCCAGCTCGCAGGTGGGCGAAGCAATGAGGCCATGCGTAACTGCCCGTGCAGTCCTGCATATATATAGTACTTGTAGCAAGTAACGAGGCTGGGACGCCAAGGGAAAAGGGGAAAGGGGCGACACGGGACTGCACGAGACATGGGCTCCTGGAGGTTTAGTCGTCTGAAAGGGGGGCCATCGAACCAAAGCCCGGCAAGTGGCGTTGCATGCCAGAAACCTCGCGCCGTCAAGCAGCTCGGGGTCACGGCGAGGCAGAATCATGGCCGCTAGGGCATTGGTCCTGGTCCTAGCTTCTTGGTCCTTCTCCTGACCGCGCATCTGGGCGGCAGCTCCTGGTCTGATGCCGGGAAAGATGCGATACCCGCCTCGAGCAGGTAGAGGAGGTGGGCCGTTGGCGTTTACCCATCCACTCATCAAGTCTTGAAGCAGGCGGTAGCTGCGGTTGCACCAACTCTTTTCTCGTCTGTGTTATAATGGTGCTCGAGTCCATAGTACTGGTACTAGTTGGCGTGCAAGCTTGCTGGCGCCGCCCCCAAGCCATCTAGTCCG